AAGGTACGGGGGAATCGACCGTGTGGGCCCAACAACGTCTATACTTTAACTCTATAAAACGTAAGATTGATCCGCGCAAAGCATTGGTCGATGACCTGTGCAAGCAAATTCAAAAATGGAGGGACGACGGTTGTGAAGTTTTGCCGGGGATCGATGCTAACAAAGACCTTTCGGTCAACTCCCCGGACTCCATACAACAGCGGTTTTGTGAGTGCGGAATGGAGGAAGCGATTTTGAAACGGCATCCCCCCACGGCGACCCACCAACAAAATCAAAGCGACATTCCCATTGACAGAATCGTTACCACTCCAGGTGTTCCGGTTCTGGCTGGTGGCTACTACACATTTGGTGAATTTGTTGAAGCGGACCACAGGGCACTATGGATCAAAAGATGTCATCCTTGCTTGCATGCAAATATAACTGCCTTCACCGGCAGATGTATATGGTACGGCGGCATGCTGAAGACAATTGTCACACTACCTCATCTGGCAAGGCTCCTTGGTCTCCCAAATTGCAGGGCTTCTGGGATTGGTTGAGTCACTGGAAGCTACTCTTTAAAGGACGCAAGCGATGCCGCGTGAGCTACGGAAAGGTCCGCCGCCTGATGAAGAAGACAAGGCTGTGCAACGGGTGGAAGAAGACGACTGATGAACTGGAAGTGGCATTGGCAGCTGAACGAAGGGCATACAAGCAAGCCAAACGTCAGGCAACCAAATTGAGACGGGACTTTCTGACGGTTCAGACAACGGATGCAAAGAAGAAGAAATGGAAATCCCAGAAGGCCCACAATAGATTCCTTTGGTTACGACAAATGAAGCAACGAGAGGAGGCGAGACGCCGTCGTTGCGCCCAACAAAAAGCATCTACAGGGGGTATACGGGCTATTCAGATTGAAGAAAAATTACCAGACAGCACTCAGCAGCTGCTTACTATCACCGACCGTGCTCTGGTTAAAGAAGGTTGTATGCAAGAAAACGCGGCATGGTACGACCAGACGCGTGCTCCATATACAACTCCACCTATGGCGGAACCCTTGTATAGCATTCACCGTGCTCAGGCTGAATCTAATCCCACTGCACTATTGGAAGGCCGCTACTCCCTGCCCGACCTTCTCGACCCCGCCACTACTGCCTTCCTCTCACATTGCCGTTTTCACAAGGATCACTTACCTGTGCACCTTGAGGTGACTACCTCTGATCATGTGTACTTCTGGTCTCGAAATCCGGAGGACAAAGGCTCAGAACCTCATGGCTTGCACAACTGACACTTCAAGGCAGCGGCCCAGTCGCCAGTTATTGCCTCTTGTGATGCCCTTTTTCGCAATATTCCTTTGGCAACGGGATTCGTCCCCTCAAATTGATGAATTTTGCAGTTGAGAAAAAGGCAGGCGACTTCCGGTTGTCAAAAATGCGTACTATTCAGTTAATGAATTCGGAGGCACAGGCAAACAACAAAAAAGCGGGTTGAGCGGCCATGCGATATGCCGAGGAACACTCCTTGATTCCGGATGGTCAGTGCGGTTCTCGGAAACGTCACCAGGCCATTGATCTGGCCCTGTCCAAACGTCTGGTCTGGGACTTGTTGATTCTCCAACGACGCGCGGCTGGGTGGATCTCTAATGATGCCAAATCCTGCTTTGATCGTATTGTTCATTGGGTGGCAATCATTGCGATGCTCCGGTTTGGGCTGACATGGAGGGTCCTATCCTCCATGTTTAACATGCTGTCATCAGCGACGCATTGGGTGCGGACAGGCTTTGGCGATTCAGAACGTACTTTCAAGCCGCCTTCTGTTATCCCCTTCCAAGGCTGTGGTCAGGGTAATGGGGCTGGACCCCCTATATGGATCTCCATGAGCTCCGTTCTCATTATCATGATGGAAGCGATGGGTTACGGCTTTTTGGGAGTTATGCTTGCTCCCTTGGAAAACCTTGAGGCTCACAAGGCTCAGATGGTTGCTGAAGCCAAGGATTGGGCAGAACAGCTTTGACCCCACCTGCTTCACAAAAATGATGTCCTCCTCCTCATCAAGTCGACCATCATGAAGCAATTGGAGTATCCAATTGCGCTAACAACCCTGGATGCCCAGCAATGGACAGACATAATGTCTCCGGTACTTCAAGTGCGCCTTCTGAAGGCGGGTGTCTGCCGTGATTTCCCTCGGGATGTCGTATTTGCTCCGCTGTCCTATCAGGGTCTTGGACTTCCACATCCGTTTGGTTGTCAAGTGTTTAAGCATCTTGAGATGTTGCTCCGACATATGGCCAACAGGACCAAAACTGGGGACTATATGGAGGCCAACACCCAAGCCCATCAACTTGAAACGGGGATGTCCTTTGGACTTTTGCAACAAGTCTACACAAACACGGCGATCCTCGCTTCAGACACATGGATGAAACAAGTCTGGCATGAGCTTGAAGGTTTGGACATCTATGTTGCCTACAACTCTCCAGCCCTCTCCCTTTGCTGTACGGACGACTCCCTTCTGATGGATCTCTTCATCTACTTGGAGGTTGAACAGGAGGAACTTTTATGGCTCAATTGGTGTCAAATGTTCCTCCAGGTATGCACAGTGTCTGACATTGTGACTGCTGATGACAGGTGTATTTGTCGCTCCGCGTGGAATGGGCTCAGGGATGAGCGCTGCCGCTCGCCATACCAATGGCCAAGGACAGTTCCCCCAACAAGGCACTGGGACCTGTGGCAGATCACCTTGTCCAGAGCCCTGCTTGCCTCCAACGGGCCACATCACCCACTACAACAGCCCTTGGGGCCATGGCCTGACCGTCTGGAGGACTGGAATTGGTTACTGTCCCCCACCACAGGCTTTTCCACCGCCATGGCGCAACCAGGAAACACTTTTGCTCTGAGGGCTCCCACACCTTGTCATGTCGCTACGCACCAGGGCCGTCCCATCCTTCCTGCCCATGGTGGACTGCACCGCTCCCTTCTGACGTTCTTTGTGCTACGGTTCGCTCCATCACAGGATCTGACAGGGTTCTTCTCACTGGTACTGGCCGTGCCTCTGAACTGTCTTCTCCCTCCAGCCCATCCATCCTTCGCGCATGGCAGACAACTATTACGGGTGGGTTCCCAATGAGATTGAGGTTCACGGTGACGAAGCCACCTTAGCTGATGCTCTGTTAAACGGTCGCCTGCGTGTGATCAGCAACGGATCCTTCAAGAACGAGTTGGGGACCGCGGCGGTTCAACTCTTGGTGAAGCATGGAGGGTGCCATGGAATCATCATCCGGTGTCAGACTCCCGGTTTGCCCCAGGACCAGAGCCCATACCGCAGTGAACTCATTGGTCTGTTGGCCGGTATAATGCGGTTGATTGGCTCCTTGAGCAATGGTTCCCAAACATTTTGACTGGCCCCAAGGTGCGGATTGCTTGCGATGGCCTCTCTGCTCTTGAGATGGCTTTCAAAGATCGTCCACTGTCTCCAACTGATGCCCAGTTTGACTTGGTGTCGTCCATTTGGGAAGCTATCCTTTGGTCCTTGTTGGATTGGGCGCCCCGGCACGTGTATGGACACCTCGACAACTCCAATCTTTTTGACAAACTTTCTTGGTGGGAGAAACGGAACCTTGAGGTGGATGGAATGGCGGTGGAGTACAGTAAGGAACTTGAGACGGCCAATCATCATATACTGAACTTGCGGCAATGTACTTGGCAGACACCAAACAGTCACACCTAGATCCCCAGTTCATCCAAGAATGTGTGACTCTTCCGGCCCTACGTTCGTGCTGGAGGAGCAAAGAAACTATCTCCGCTGAAGCCAAGTCTGAGATTGCCTGGGACACACTGGGTCGCGCCATGCAATCTCTTCCTGCAGGACTACAAAGGTGGTCTACTAAACATTGTGTGGGCATGTGCGGCACAGGCAAATTTAAAGTTCTATGGGGTCTGGAGACATCAGCAGCTTGCCCACGCTGCGGCAACTTTGAGGATCATCTGCATGTTCCCCACTGCCGCGCTGCTTTGGCAAGAGCTGAATGGGATCGTCGCACTGCAGCCTTCTCCGTGTGGCTCGACCTGCAACTGACGGGCCCTCCATCAAAATAGCGATCCTACAGCTTCTTCAGGGCGTTCGCACACCTCATTCATTTCCTCGAAGGACCATCTCCTCTTCGGTTCGGCCGGCCTTCTTGGCTCAGCAGGTGATTTGGTCTCAAGGCCTTTTGGAGGGATGCATCGCCTTGTCTTGGCTTCCACTCCAACAACAACATTATGACAAGATCAGATGTTGTCAATCTGTCTCTCTTTGGGCGTCCCGCCTCTCACAACAGAAAGCACAACGCCGCAGTCTGCGGACTATTTTCTTCCCTGGACCCTGACCAACGTTTTGCAGGACCTTACATGCCCCGAATTTACCCTGCCACGTCGCGGGAGAAGTCTTTACCCCTTTGGGAGACTTGAGCAACTTCTGTTCAAAAATACAGATGCCTCACATGGTTCAAACTTGTTGTTGACTCACCGCTTCACAGTACTTGACCTTTACAGCCAAATATTTCACCGGCAATCAAATGCCCATAGAGTAGCATATTAACGATTAATGTCTCAGTTATTATTATTATTGTTGCCAGGAGGAGGAGTGGTATTGCCAGAGCGGTCAATGGATCAGCTGCAGCAGCACGGCCTTTACCTCAGCAGCATATGCAGCAACAAGCAGCAGATCACAGCACACTATTGCAATAGCTTCCAAACAATCCAACTTTCAATCCTGTGCATGCTTCAACGACCAATGGTTTTTTGACTCCAAATCAATTTGCCTTGACTCCGAATCCATGTGCCTTTTTCACAAATCAATCCACACCACATAGCCGGACTGTTTGCAAGTCCAGATGCTTTCCGAATTACCCTTTCAATTGCCCAAGATTTGCAGGATACCTTGAGCGGTCCAAGTCCGGTTCAGTGGTTGGGAGACCACCTCACGATCTATGGTGCCCAAAGGTGCAGGGTTACTACTACAAGTATGGGGAGAATTAAAATGCTAGATGCAGTATCAAAATGATTGATTCATTATAGTAGTAGCACTAGTAATATTTGCTTCATCTGCGTTTATTGTACCATGGATTGAGAACAATTCTTTGTTGGAGGAGTGATGTCATACCGGTACTACAGTTAGTTTTTTGGAGAACTTGAGACAAGTTTAAAAAGTGTATAGCTTGCAAGATTTCTGATTGGCTGAGCTACTTCACTCATTCAATTCAGTCAACCACGTTTTGTTCCATGTAGTCAAAATTATATTGAACTGGAAGTTCAAGAACAACAGATGATTGGTCAACCAAGCTATGTTGCGGGTCTTGCAGAATGTCTTTTGCGTATATAAAAAAGACATGTCTTATCAACAGAACCCCCCTGTCAACCCCCTGCTAAATTTATAATTTCTCTATGTTTTCTTGATCGCCCCCCCTAATAAGCATCCATTCGTTTTTCTACAGTCATGAAGGGTTGAATATGCTATGAGAACACAAGGGGGAAGAAGGAATCTCCCCTCTTCTTTTTTCCTCTCCTTTTTCCTTTTTTTCTTTACCCCCAAGCCACATGAACCCCCCAAATTTTGGGTCATATTTCATAAATGGGGTTGGGTATTTTTGAAAACCGCCGTATAAATCGTACCACCTCTACGTGTCGTCAGCTTTCCTAATACAGTAAGGGTACCCTGTTCAGAGGTTTTTCTTTTAAGAGAAACACCCTTAAAAGAGACAAATTTTGCTGAGACAAAAATTTCACAGTCCGTCTGTCACCCGTACCATTTCATGCCCATGTGTCTGTCCTTCGTCTGCAAACCAGCCTTTCTGGAACGGCCGGGAACTGTGGTCCGATTAGTCATTCCACGCGCAAAAGCAACTGCACAAAGGGAATCTTGTAGGCGGAATCTTGAAAAATCATTGCAGCGACCAGCTTATCCGCGTCCACAAACAGTCAGTCGAAATAGCACGGCACGGTTGTGCGGAGGGTGAGAAAGGACAAAGGAAAAAAGCATGCCCGTCCTCTTTAATCATTCCCCATTTTTTCTGTTAGTAGACCACTTTTCCATATTTAAGAAATGACTCTTG